AAATGATACAACCAGGCAGGTGCAATTGTCCAACACCTACAACTCCAGACGATATGTACCTATTTGGTATATGTTTAGCGCGAATTGGAGTACAACCTGTACACTCGCAATTGTTTCATCAAGTATGTAGATGTTTTTAGTAGATATATTCTTTGTAGTCTTCAATTAAAAAAAAAAAAATTTTAGGCACGTCCCTCCGATTACGCAACTGCTTTTCTCGCTTCGCAAGAACCCGTATCCTTTCATAAGTTTTGGATGATCGACCCTGATATGGTTTACGATGAATGGTTCGCGAAAGCAGATGCATCCTTGATCGCAATTAAAAAACACACGGAGCTATAACGTCCAGGATACGGTTAATTATTTTTACTTTGTAATAATTTTTTAAATATACACATTTTCTACGAATATTATAGTAAAATAATTTTTATTGTCTTATAGCATCAATACAGTATAAAAATATTCAAACTATAATAAAAATATTAGTTACGCGTATATACATATTATAAATTCGATTTTAATATTTCTCTCCACCATAATGGCCGTTCAAGGTTTCCCTTGTCCTTGAAAAACCACTCTTGAATATGTTTATATACCTGTATACAAAATAACATTAGACGAGGATCGGATTAATAAAAATAAATAAGACAGAAATAAATAAATAAATAAATACTACATACTTCGCCATCGGACATGCCTAACGCCGAATTTAGGATAAAATCTGGTGGCGCCAGAACATCGACCAAAGCCACGGCGTCTTGAACTAATTCTTTGCATAAAACAACAATGCCGTTTCGTAATAAATTATCCATGTTACTATTAACCGATGCATAACCACCCGCATAGAAATCCCCTAATTTCTTTTCTATGGCAACTGCCCCGTAAAGCGAACACAACTTCGTCAACACATTGCGTTCTTCCGATCTCCACATAGAATTCTGTATGCACTGTATAAAGTATTCCATAATGGCTAGCTGCAAAACAATTTCAATGAAATTAATATTAAAGACAGCTTTTTATATTAATAAAACGTTACCTGTCCATATAACACAGATAAAGTCTGCGCAAGAAATACTTGCGTGTCGTTTCTAACTACGAAATCGTTCAAGCCTTCGTTTTTTAACTGTCGTACTTGTTCGTATGTTTTTTTTAAGTAGTAGCACGTCAGCCATTTGAAGGTCAACATTAAATCTGTAAGAAATACGTTGTAATTATACGTTCGAAAAATTTTCAGAGGAAATTATGGAAAAAATTGCGTTTAAATTATGAAATCAATGTCGTACTTTCCGGTTTCATTGTGTCGGAAGATGTCGAATGTGAGAACTTTTGTTGTAAAATATTGTTGGCATCCTGTATAAAGTCAGCTGATCCCAGAGGAGAATTAACAGGCTTTCCATTGAGCATGTTCGACCATTGGTTCAGCAACCAATTACTGGCTTGCTGAATTAATACATTGTTCTCGCCCTCGTAAGTACAATTCGCATCGTTTTCAGATCTCAAGTCACCCAAGCGTGACACTATCGATATAAACAAAGTATAGAATCCGTTACGTACACCTGTTTCGATGGTTTACGTACTTTTTAGATAACCGTGCCCGCCACAAGATTCCCTGCAGTCTTGAATAACATCTCGACTGGTCCACGAACACACTGGTTTTGCCGCGGAAGATAACGCGTGGATCTCCATACCTTCGCTGTCCATATTTTCTTGGCTACTCGAAGTTAGGAGTTTGTATTGAAAGTCAGATAACTGTTGCACAAACGCAGCAGAAAATATTTTTATGGCGTATGTTGCCGCCAAGTGAGGAAACAGCCGCCATTGCTATAAGATCGTATTAAATTTTATTTCATTTTAATCGATAAATTTCTATCGAATTAATTTATATACCTGCGCCTGATATTCTATAACTGGCCACTCCTCGTTTTCTGTTGGGCCGAATTGTTTCCTTACGGCGCAATAACGCACAGCGATAACTATCGCGGTAGATGCATAGTTGGCACATATCGATGTAATTGTAGCACGACCCGAGGACAGGGCACCCAATGATGCACCTGTGTCAAATAAACGGTACATTTTTGTAAAAAAAAATTGTAAAGCCAGCGGTGTATATTTGTCCAGACGCTCACCAAATCGTTTGCTTTCGTCTTTCACAGACGACACGTAATTCCCATCCTCCGTAACCTTCGCTGTCCGATTTAACAGACACTGCCGAGAGGTATGGTAATTATTGAACATCACAAACCCGTTATCTACTCCATTCAACGCAATTTTTTCACCCATATCGCCAACAGTGACGCCAGGTAAAGCAAGGTGGGTATCTGGATCACGGATAGGCACGACGAACGCATGGAGACCACGATTCTGTTGATCCGGAGTGATCAATTGCGCAAAGATCACGGCATGCGTTGCAGTTTTTCCTATAAGAATATAATAGTTTCCCCTTGGTTGTTCCGCCAAAACTGTTTCTTTGCGAAGTTTATTTTCATTTTATTATTCACCTAAACCGCCAGACCAACATTTCGCAGCCTCGAAGTCAGGAGTGTGCAGGATGAAGCTCTTCGACTTCACGTCATACGTTGCCACGGTTCTTATGCCTTTTGCATTCGTTCCATGAGATATTTCCGTCAGCGCGAAGCAGGCTGTATACTAATGAAAATGGAAGGTTTTAATGCAATTTGTTTAACACCTTAACTACCGGTCTAATCGCGAAAATTCCTACAACGCTGAATTATTTTTCTATAGCATTAAAAGTAGCGTAATCCGATACTTATTTCTGTGAACTCTTTAGTATTTACCAATCCTATCCAGATTATCTTTTGTGTCAGCATGCGTGTCACCCATATGTGCATATTAATATCTGTTAGTCGCTATCGCGCTTACCTGTCCATCTTGAATTTTTTGTGCAACCTCATACTGATCTTCTGTGCCCAAAGAAAAGATCGCTGCTGGTACCATGCCTTGCATGACACCCATTTTTATTGGTACCGAGGCATCGTATTGGAACAACACGTTAAACCAGTGCAAGTGGTTTATCGGATGCTGCAGAACGATTAAACGCGAATTACAGAAGATTTATCGGATTCATCGATCGTTCGTAATATTTACCGTGACATTGTGTTCTTTCAACGCCCTGATGCGAGCATTGCAAAGTTGTCGTTGCTCGTCCAACGAGGTGGCAGATTTTTTAAATAAAGCTGACTTTCCTATGAAGCTCCACAGATCGTTCTGAAACGACACGAAACGTCAGAGGTGTTCGCGTTTAATCACCTCGTGAACAAAACCTTCGGAACTGGCGATTTTCATTTGCATAAACATCTGCAGTCTAGTGACGAATGAACTTACTTGAAACTGAACGAAATCCTCCCCTTCTAATGTGAGCTTCAATAGCTTCCAGTCGAACGTTGCGCATTGTCTGTAAGCATCCAAACGACCCTTTGGCAAGTTGGCAATCAAATTTGTCATCTTCACCAGGTTTACGAATTAGAACACCTACGGATGTTGGTTTGTTCAACCTGTCGCTGAAAATTCGATATTACCGCGGAACTGTTACGATAAAAAATTGCTTCGAATCGACTTTGCAAGATCCGATCGTAACTTTTAATTCACAAGCACTCCGTTAAAAAGCTCACCGTGCACAATGCATATCGAATTATATTTGAGTTGCAATGAAGGTTCGTACACGTTTGAATAATGCATGATCACGGAGTGGGAATTAACGAACTCGTGAATTCATTTGTAGTTGATTAATTTTGAGAAACTATCGGGTTCGATGGTATTTTTGAAAAGTCTTTCGTTCCGTTTCTTCGTCTTGTTTAGCAAGAAGGATCGTCAGCCTAATGATTAACCTACCGCAGTGCGGAGATCGTTTAAAGAATTTCTCAGCGATGTTTTTCATCGAACATTTTATTTCACGAATTGATGACTGTCATATAAGCCGGAAATGGGCGACATAAAATCCACAGGGAATCGCGTCACCTGAATTATACGACCTATTTTACAATTTACCATGTCACGAATCGGTATCGATCATTGATCAGTTCAATTTTTAATCAATTACGCAATTAATCGAAAAATAGGCAAACTGTAAGAACTATATTTTCGTAATAATCCTCTCGTATCTTCAAATCCGCTAGAGATAACATTATATGATCGTAATCTCGGAGGTAAACAGAGGAAGAGATAATGAAAAAGTTCGTGAAAGTACACGTTTCGATTATTTAGAAAATAATGCTTACTCTGTACCGATTTTACGACGTTTCTTGTGTCTTCCTTTTTCTTCCGTGCTGTACTGTTCTAAAACACGTTGTGTAAAGAAAAGGATAAAACAATGTGTTCTATTTAAATTCAATCAAAATGTTTAATATTAATTCGAACGTGATAAGCGATAAGCTTTGCTGTGCTACGATTTTCGTTTACACGCCACAGTATCATCCAATCGACTAAAGAGTTTTACAAGCGAGTCAGCTATGTATATTATAAACAAAAGATAACGAAAAGCAAACGTTGAGACGGTTAATAAATCGTCAGTGACACACACGGGACAAAGTACAGTGTCATTATCGAAAGTAGATCTACGAAATATTTTTATACATTAGATAATATTAAAGCTGATAGCCAACATACAGAATGGCGCAACCAAACATTACCGGTAACGAGTGTTACCTGTTGCAAAGTGTTATTAGAAGTTATTTTGAAAGTTGTAGGATCGTTAATGACATTATCAGCGTAATTAGTTAGACGCGAAAGCAATCTATGTCATATAATAAATAAAAAAGGCTCGGTCAATCATTCGTATTATTATATTTTGGTATATTACAAATGGTGCATATGGTTGAGGTACGATATACATTGTAAAATATTCAGAGTACAGCAAGGTTGGATCACGATCTGAAATAAAGATGAATTTGACCCATGACCTTTTCGAAAGTGATGCGAGCACGTCTGATAACCTGTGATTTCATTATTGATCGCATCACTTATCTAGCTTAATTTACCTGGAAATGAGATTCCTGAATATTCAATTTCTACAATTGGTGGAAGAAATTAGAAACGTCGATATGTTGGTATATAATCGGTACACCGTTACAATTGCAAGTTTTATTCGAATCAGAACGACGATGCTTATCGTTTTGTTTCTTCAAGTCACCCTCGTATGTGGGAGAAGGTATTGTTCGTCGCAAAACCGCTAAAATCGCTTATAAGAAATTTAGTTTGATTCATTTCTACGTAATTCTCGATACAGAAGTTCTAATGCATTACTTTCGGTTACATTTTGTCTAGTGGATTTTATAAAGAGCATCAATGGGAGAGAAGCGAAGAGAACTTGAAGTCTGTCGTCGAAAAGATTATAGAAGAAATCATGGAACACGCTAATTGCATTGTTTTTGTTACCGATACTATTTATCGAAGACTCGTGAACATCACGCACGTTCAAGGTTCTTCGCTCTTATCCAAATACGAGGTAATATAAGAATAAGAAACTGTACGTAAACATTTTCTGAACATGATTTATATTTAGATTGGATTGCGCGATAACGAACAATTTTCCCCGCCAAGAGAACGTATTCAACAAGTTCTAATCGACAGCAAGGCGATCGATTGTAGCGCATACGTTATACTAGCTGCTAATGGTTTCGTGACGTCTCAGTTTTTGCAATATACAGAAAGGTGGCTAAACAAAACAAACGATAGTAATTGAAATTATATTTCTAAGAGCTTAGCCTGGACACCTCTGCATCTACAGCAAACAACGATATTTTTGTGTTTATTTCTCGTTTTCAGCAAACGTCTGATCAACACTCGCGGACTCTTTTTACTTTTATACGATCACCGACTATTTGAATCGAATTTACATCACGTGTGGAACAGAATAATTAACGTAGTTTTCATACGTCGATATAACGCGTACCAGCATCGCTCTGGAGAAAAAATATCCAAAGAAAGGATAGATCTAGACACAGTCTACTACCCTGCTTACGAAAAAATATTAACTGTGACTAAATACATCGACACTTGGTATCGTGGAAAAATGCGTTACGGTAACAATCATTTTACGGAAAAAACAACGAATCTGCATAAGAAACATTTACGGTTAGTGTAACAAAATTATTATTCAACGGTAATCGAACAGCACGACCGTAATTGCTTCTTCGAGATACTTAGTACTTTTATTTGAATTTTAGAATTGCTGTTTTCGAACACATTCCTACAGTAACAGAGAAATCGAGAGCTTATTATAATAAGCGACCTAATAACAATACAGAGGCTCTAGGAATAGAATTCGAAGTATGTTTCGTATTAAGCATTCGTTCCCCTGCATTTGTGTCAATGATATTATTTAGTTAATACAGATCATATCAGAAGCAATGAACTTCAAACCAAAGTATTACATGCCATACAATATAGCTTCTGAGAAGTGGGGTGTTAAAGGAGACAATCAAACCTATACAGGTCTTATAGGTGAAGCCATAGAAGGAAATGCTGCATTTTATTTGGGTGATTTACATTACACGTTACACCACTTGAATTATTTTGACTTGACCATACCGTATAATACAGAATGCCTTACTTTCCTAACACCAGAGTCCTTGACTGAAAATTCATGGAAGCTGCTGATACTTCCATTTAAGTATGTGTGATTAAGAGGAAATGCAAACAAAACATGATAAACATACATTTATTTTGGTTTTCAGGTTATACACCTGGATTGCACTTATCTTCAGTTTAATTTTTGGAAGTTTTACATTTTACTTCTTGTCACTGTCTTATAAGAAATACATAATCTTTTATAAGAATAAAATGTATATTCAAACTGCATTCACAAAGAAGGAAATAAAAGGATTGTATTTGTTTACAGAACTACAAAACAGTATATTGTATACTTACAGCATGCTGTTTCAAGTTTCGTTACCTAGTTTGCCAAACCCTTGGGCTGTAAGAGTATTTATCGGGTGGTGGTGGATTTATACTATTCTAGTTGCAGTTGCCTACCGTGCTAGCATGACTGCAACTCTTGCAAATCCTGTAGCTAGAGTTACCATCGATACATTGGCACAATTAGCCAAAAGTTCTATAGAAGTTGGGGGTTGGAACGAAGAAAGCAAAGATTTCTTCTTAATATCCTCTGACCTTAACAGTCAAGAAATTGGCAAGAAATTTCAGTTCATTGTAGATGAGAAAGACGCTATAGAAAAAGTAGCAAATGGATCTCTATGCTATTTTGAGAACTCTTATTTGCTTCAAGATGCCCGTGTAAAAAGGCAGATATTGGAGAAACAACAGAAAGAAAACGGAACTACATTGAACATATCTTTGAAACATAACCTACACATTATGGAAGAGTGTGCTATTAATATGCCTATAGCTATTGGCATGGAAAAGAATTCACCACTGAAACCACGCGTTGACATTTTAGTAATTTTTAATTTCGTTAATAATTATCGTAAAATTATAATCTATATTTTAACGCATTCACATCGTTACACGTACGAATCTGTTAAGTATTGGCTGTCCCATAGGAAATGCATGGAATTAGATGCAAATGTGAAGGTGTTAAGAATAAAAAATATTATATACAATTATGATTTTTATATGACACATGTTTTCAGATACGTCGCGTAATAGAAACTGGATTAGTCGAAAAATGGCTGAGCGATGTTATGGAATGGTCCAAGATAATGGAGGTGCGACAAGAAACTGAATCTGAAAAAGCATTAGTCAATCTTCACAAGCTGCAAGGTGCTTTTATTGCTGTTATAGTCGGTTATGTATTAGCTTTCGTAGTATTACTAGGAGAAATTCTATACTGGAAGTATATCGTTTTAAAGGATCCAAAGTTTGACAAGTACCATTTGGACATATTCTATCATGTTAACCCTAAAGTACAAGTCAATAATTATAATTTACAAATTCTCTAATTAAATTTAGAAATAATTGGTTACATGGACTGTTATAACATAATTAGTGTTTACGAAAATATGTAAGAACTCGTTAATTGTCTGGGAAATAATACGAAAATTACATACCAAATAGAAATGAAAAGGTTTAAATTAATTTTTTCAATGGTCATATCACACTGAGTCAACTATTGCTGCACAAATCCGATTAATTAATTCGTTCGAAAGAAACACGACACACTCAACACATACCTTTTGTATATAATCTTCTACACTCAATTAAATGAAACTCATTCGTGCACTGTACTTCTATCCAGGAATGTATCATTTGTATTTCTCAAATATACTTTTGTTTCTCTTACTTTATTTGATATCTTTATTTATTTTCCCTTACTGATCACTTTACTAATGTAGAACTGCGAGCATTATACACAAATAGTAACTTGTATCATTTATATAGAATCCATCCATAACGCGGTACCTTCTCATTTCGGCCCTGTCGTAATCTACTATGACACACTTCGAACTGGTTACGGAAAGTTGGAAAAGGAAGTGAATGCGAGCCTCCGTTTTATCTTTCAAGTCTTGACGTAGACATACGCTGAAATACAGAGTCTAACACAACTGAAACTCCTCAAATCGCAATTATAAATGCGTGTGTCGGTACGCAATTTACTTTGTTACATAAGAGGTCATTAAGACCTACTGATTGGAACAGACTTTTTGTAACAGAAGGTGGAAATAGATATGTAATTGTAATAAAAAAATCATCGATTACAACAGACCTTAACTTGAAAATACAGGAACACGATCATCGAAATATCGTACGGTTTAATTTGCCTAAACATGAAAATCACAAAGAATACAAATAAAAAATTTATTAATTTACAGGGGATCGATTGCATAATCTGCGTGTATATTTATAAAAATCTTGCAATGATTTCACTTGTATTTCTATAAACACTGGTTGTCTCTTCGACCATGAAACTAGGTTCTTAAACATTTTGTTTACATCTACATCGTCCAAGTGGGATTCTCGTTCAAAGTACGTCTTATCAGGATTTCGATCGCCACACACCTCTGAATCTAAATTATCGTCTGTTTCAGTGCAACTACTGAACAATTCAATTTCCTGCTGAGGAATTGGCTTGTCCGGAATGGCGTTAATTGTTGACCTGGTGGAAAGGTCCTTCTCTCGATCACTTCGTGCCTCTTCTGTTACTTCGTATGCTAATATTTTCTCCCATGACTTACAGATATCAATTTGTGTTACGTCTGTCCACGTCTCGTTCACTATATCGATGCAATTCTTCATATCGAAATGTTTAAAAAATTCTTCTAGTCCGCCAGGAAACTCCAAGATTTTCCTTAGCAACCGATGGCGATAGGATTTTTTCATAGTCTCGATTATTCCCTGACCCATAGGCTGCAAAATAGACGTTGCGTTCATCGGAAAATATACTATTTCGAAATTATCGTCTTGTTTTTCCTCTTCTGTCGGTAGTACGCGATTTTCGGAATTATGCAGCAACAGCAACACCTTTGCGTTAACACCCCTTTCTAATTGCTGCCTCCTTACGGCCGGCCTGAAATGATTTTTTAACCAGTCAGCAAACACGTTACGGTCCATGAAACCATTTTTTTGAGCCATGAAAATGACTGGTAGTCGATCATGGCAGTGTCTTAAAGCCCTTGGTCGCCCGTATTTATTTACAATGACTGGTGGTAGCTTGTGCGTTCCAATTGCGTTCGCACAGAATCCTACGGTGATTTGATCCTTTTTTGTTTTGATTCCTGTGACGCTTGTTTCTGCAACGCGAGCCAGTATCTTTTGGGGAAGAGCCTTCCACATCAGACTCGTGTCATCCATATGATAAACATTCTGTAGCTCGATGTTTTCTTTCTTTAGCCTCTCTAATAACCATCGGGAAAATTCTTCCTCCGCTCTCGTATACGATCGTGTATTATCTCGATGGAATTTTAGCAAACGTATTCCATGTCGGCGTTTAAACCTCCATATCCATCCTCTAGAAGCTGAAAACGACGATGGGCCACCAAATTCTTTATTCAATTCTTTCGCTTTCTTTTGGAATTGTTGGTCAGTGATTAGATCGCCTATTGCTCGTCGCTGTAAGAACCACGAGTGCAGACGAGCATCTAATTCATCGAACACAGGCGTTCTCGATTTCTTTTGATCGTGAACGATAGCCGATATCTGCAACTGTTGTCGTATCTGAGCAGCATTCGTCTTGATGCGACGGATGGTTAAATCAGTAACATTGTAATCGTTAGCCAGTTGAGACAACGAACAACCATCCTTTAACTTCTGTAAGATGTCGAATCGTTGCTGCAGCGTCAAGTAAACGTGCGTTTTGCTACGTTTTGCCGACATCCTACGTTTACAATGTAAACTTTACACCTGATGGTATCCGAAATTAATCCCTTTTCCTTCTCGATGTAACACAGCTGAAACGCTGGATGGCGTCGCTGCAGTGAGAAGAAATGAATGCGCAGAATCGAGGTGCATATCAGGTAAAGGCAGTATTGCATAGGTAATTGAAGGTAATGAGCATTAATTAAAAGTTCAGTCTGTGCATCGATAAATGGCGACCCATTTCAAAGAAAACATTTGGAGTAATTTGAACCATCGAGAAACTTGACAATTACTGACAATGGGTGCATTCATAAAGGTCAAAGAAAGAAAAGACAAGAAAGAAGAGAGAACGTAATTAATGAATACTAATGAATTTAATGTTAAATTAAATTGAATATGTAATGTAGCTTTTCTTCCTGATGATCAAAACGTGGCAGGCGACGCTATAGCCATCTAGCGGTCAAAAGGTGGAACTAAAATTGTTGTTTGTTGGCGTTTATTAAAAAAAATAATAATAAACAGATACAGACTTTAAACCTGTATAGGTCTATTAGTCTAGAAGTAAAATTCCGACCTCCATACAGCGCACCACCGGGAAAACGTCCAAGTTTGTCCTCGAATAGTTCCTTTTTTTAGCGCTAGATGCCGGCATTTGTTTGTTTAAAAAAAAAAATAACGGATTTAAAAGTTAAAAAACGGTTTTCATACAAATTTTAATATCACATTGCTGATTCACTTATTTGGTATTGCATATAATACAAAAATATTTATAAAATACAAATGGCACCATCTAGCGTTGACCCGGAGTACTATTCGAGGACACACTTGAGCGCTTTCCCACCGATAGCGCCACTGTCGTCTACAAAAATATTGTTGTTATTCTTGGATAATAACAATTATAACTTCAGCAAGACTACCTTGACATTTATTTTATTGTTGTCTAAACATTTATGTATAAAATTTATTAGAATATATTTCAAACTAGAAATGGGAGATAACCTTCGACGGCAGGTAAACGTGGTCTACGTCTTTTAACTGCTAATTGCATTGTTTCTGTATTTTATTAACAAATGAATTAAATTCCTTAGGTACTATGCATGTTTAAAAAACTACATCGAACGCGAATGAATACTTTCAAGGGCGACGAACACGCGTTGAAAGGTAAATCAAATTCAACAACTATTTTAATAAATCGTTTATTTTATTAATTGTCATTCAGTTGTAAGGAACAAGATAAACGAGGAGTACAAAAAAAATAAAAATGTTACAAACACAGCTGCTATTGAAGAGGTAAAAATGTAGTTAATAGCTTTATGCAAAATATAATCCCATAATCTATAATTAACTTGTTATACAAAGGACAAACAGATTCTTTTCTAAAATTTGTATATGTTTGCATCCATAGCTTTTTTGTCAGACAGTTAAATGTATCATAATTATCATGGTAATATAAATATTATTGCAGTTGAACAAATTTGCACAAGAAGTAGAGCACGAAGTACGAACAACTGTAATTCAAGCAGTTGAAAAAGAACCTGGAAAGTTTGGTAATATTTTTCAATATAGAATGCATTGTACAAAACACATTTTGTTTACTAAGAGTATCGTATAATATTGTAGCGCTTAACATTACGCCTGACATAAAGCTAATGGATAATGCACCCTGCGAGGACCTTAAAAAAACTTCCTCAGAAGATAGACCACGAAAGAATAATTAAAATAAAAAAAATTTTAATAATTCAATTTTACAGTGGAGTAGAATAGCATTAAAATATAAAGAATAAATATAGTAAACAACTAGTTATAAATTATTAAATGTTTATTTAAGTCAGAAATGTCAATTCAGATGGTTTTATTTGTAATTTAACACTAATAAAATATATACAATATTGTATGTACATACGTACAATATTTCTAAGCTTGATAGCAACATGAAAATAATTTCATATCAAACATTTCGTTCAACATTCAACTATTCTTGAACGCCTTCCAACCTCATCCTGAAAGAATATATAAACGATATATTAATATAAATTATATAATAGAAATGATTAACTACGTGTCATGGAAGAGTTAAATTTTTACTTGGAAATGGGTAATTTAAGGGTTACTTACTTTTTTCTTGGGATGTTAGTCAGACATGGGTAAAGGATCAGTGAATTGTTTACAGTGAGATTTTGTTGACTGTTATAATAATTTGACACATAAGGATAGCGATCAGTAAATGTACAATGTTCTTGGTGCGAACCTAAGGCGACATTTGTTTTATGTTAGTTAGAGAAGGCATAGTTGTAAACTTCATAATATACTAACACATGTTCAGGATGATTACGAATTTGATCGAGTAAATCTGCTGGTCTTATCTGATCGGTACAGATACGATGTACCGCGGTGAACAAAGGAAATTTCTCTATCAAATTGCGACCTTTCAACATTCCGTGAACTTCGTCAGCTGTGGCTGGCCCTTGCAATTTTTGTCCACCTAAGAGCTCATCCTCGAGTTGTTTAATAGTCTAAAGAATTACAAATATTTCGAGTTATACAAATTCAATTAATTTTTCGAGATAAACTTATAAAAAATGTAGTAAAAATTTGTACCTTGCCACTTTTTACGTATTGTTCGCAAACTCGGCGATTCCTTCCTCCGTAGCAAGTAGTTATTAAATCTGCTACACCACAACTTTCGAAGAATGTCGAAAGTTTCGAGCCACTGTAAAAAGTATCTACAAACTTAACCATTTCCATCAGTCCTAATCTGATGACGGCTGCTTTCGTGTTGTCGCCGAGCCCTAGACCATCTACGAAGCCAGCAGCGCATGCTACAATGTTCTGAAATATAAATTGCAATTAGACCACGTTTAACTATCAAACAAATTCAAATTGGATAACGATATTTAACTTACTTTCAAAGCACCGCATACTTCGACAGCTTCGCAGTCGTCGACAACGACTACTCGGAAGTTGGGAGTTTGAATTAGATCTCTCATTAACGGTGCTAATCGTTTATCTCTGCAACCTGTGATTATTAACTATAACAAATGAACCAAACAGCGTTTAATTTCATCGTAAATAGTATTATTTACCAATAGTAGTTTCGCAGAACTTTTCTTCCGCGACTTCGTTGGCCAAATTTGCGCCCATTAGAACATAGCATTGAATTTTTAGATGTTTCTCGATGATTTTGGAGATCAGTTCGATGTTCGTTCCATCTCCTCGATCGAAACCCTTGACAAAAATGTAGAAATACTTTTTTTTTTTTTTTTTTTTGTTACGTCACATCATTCCTGTGAATAAACTTTGCAGTAGAATCAAGTACCTTAATTAATGATAGACCAACCGCGGTTGGTTTAATTTTATCGAGCAACGTCGCGCATAATGTTCTTATAAATTGATGTGGTATCACAAATATGAGGATGTCCGCATCTTTTGCGGCCTCGACAACGTCTGGAACGGCGACCTAACAAATAAAATCATATAAATTAATAGCTACTTATATTTCAAGTTTACAACAGCCCTTCGATCCATCGAACTTATTAATTTAAGTCACGAATTCATTCGGAAAATGTAATCGTATAAAAACCAAGACTTACAATGTTTTCTGGAAGCTTGTGTCCAGGAAGGTATTTTACATTTTCGTGCAATTGATTTATGATATCGGTCAACTTTTGATTATTCACTATCTCTTCGTAGACGTACATCGTCACGCGTGTTTCAAATTTGTTGTTGTACTTTTGGACGTTGGCGCCCACAATTTTTGCAATGGCTGATCCCCTATAATATATACAAGTAATGTGTAAAAAAAAAAGAAGGGATTCCTTTAAAAAAATATCGATGACCTTGATCTCGAAAAGTGACCTTGAATTTATTTCTTTTCGAACGAATATCTGCGTCTCTTTGGATAGTTACTATTGCCGCGAAACAAGTGTTTCATATATTGTCACGAAGAATAATTGTATTTATTCGTATGTAGATATTTAGGCATTCCTATTTAAATGCATCACTTTGTATGCTCAAGGTGCGATCCTTGGCATAAGAGAACACATAGGCACAACAGAGTACATTACGTAAACGTCATTCACGGAAATGAAAGAAGATAAACAGAAAAGAATAAACAAATGTGTATTCAGATATAAAAGAGACGTAACGAATAAAAGTGTATTTTAAAAGGGCAGCTTATTTCCTTACAACTATAAGAACTTTGTACAATTATAAAATGGTAATTTTAATTGATAAATTAACATACCAATTGCCACTTCCAACGATGCATATTCTCTTCTTCGCTTCAGTAGCCATTTTGTAATTGTTACGGTATCACAGAATTAGAAGTCACAAATTTATAAGAACATAAGAGAACATAAGAGTGTTACAAATTCGACTATTTTCGGTCGCCGATGCACGATTGACTGACTGACCGACTAACTTACAAACTAACTTCAGCCTTCTTTGACCTTAGCAACCATTGCAGATTATTTTCTAACGATTGGCGTGCAGTGTGATGGACCAAGGTCAACGTGAACGCAACCGCGAACCGTGGCCAGATTGAATGTTAAAATTAGCAATAGTTTGATAATACGCTTTTGTCTGCACATTTTAACTCCTTGACCTACACGCTATCTCCCGATTGCTCGGACCATAGTAAACAGAAAGGAAGAAAGTCCAAACGAAGTACTACGAGTCAGACGCGTGCTCATTACTTATGGACCAAATTCCTCTTACGAGTCTCACTCGTCGTTGTAGGTCAAAGGGCTAAGGGTTTCAACGACATAGATTAACCATAAACTTAAAAACTATAAAAAAAAAATGTCAATGTATACATATATTGGTATAGCGCGTTATACATCGCTTTAACGTTACGTGAAGATAGTAATGATTATTTTTGTAATGCGATATAGATATCGATAAACAAATTTATTAAAAAAAAATACATGTACAAAATAAACGTAAATGCAATACCCTTGACGTAATACAAATTGATCACATTGGTTTCCAAAACAAAAATACTTCGTGATGGAGAGAGCAATCGTTAAAATATCAGCATAGCTTTCGAGACGTAGAATACTGATTCGTAATTTTTATTCCTATACCGCGTCGAATTGTTGTTAAGTATGTTGAACACGTATTACATCTCTGAAATAATCTATAAATTCATACTAATTCCTTAGGTACGGGTAATACCCGATGCATCTTCTCTTCTTGTCCTCCAAACTAATCTTCATAGATGGCATTTCGGTGCGGGTAGTTGCAGCATTGATGCAATAACGTCATCGTTCCTAAATATGAAGCGAATATAATTAAAAATAGACAAATATCTTCCGATCACGACAAATATTACTGTTAAACGGAGTGTTTTTACACCTTCAAACGTGTTTAACGTTACTCGAGGTATACGACATGCAGCATGTATCGTTTAACGTTGCGTGATAAAGGTATCATTACAATATTTTACGCGAATGTTGATACTGGTTATGGAAAAAGGACGAAATCGACTCTAAACTAAACAAAGGTTTTTTTAATTAATAAATAGTAGTCATATATTTAATTTTCATAGTACATTATTTATGGTAACTTCGATTCCGTAATTGTAACAATTCATAATAGCCTAACAGTCGACAAAATCGGAGTAATGGTAATACATGTTTGTTTACAGAATCCTCGTATTTTAATAACAATCTTGATAAAATTTTCAATAAAATATATAACAGCGCAAATATGTTTTTACATATTACCTAACAATTTATTATACAAATATTTTGGTAACATCTATATATTCTATGTATACTTTATATAATTAAAAAAAATTAATGGTCCTAATGAAGAGTGCATAGAAAATTTTTTTTGTACGCATTATAATAACACTTAATAAAAATACGATTCGTAATTGAAAGCATAAAATAGATAATAAATTGAATGAATGATAACAAACAGGCGAACGTAAGCAACAATTTAACTAGCGTTATTAAAAATATTTTCGATAACGACCAAGTAAAAGATTATAAAATTCATTAATTATACCATGGTCCTTAAAATTATTTTCTGTAGGTACCTTTTTATTCTTCTACTTCTTCTCCTTCCTATGATTCAACGATATATATCGTCCCTCGTAAATTGTTTATTAAAATAAAGTCATACGATATTTGCTAGGATATAATAATTAAACGATATGCATACAACTTTCTCTAGATTTGATCGAAACTACTTTCACATGTACTTTTATAATATTCATAATTTTTTTTTTGAAAGTTCGGCGAACCTCTACAAAGGTTAGGAATAACAACAACGGACATTCATGCAAAATAAGGCACCTATTACATCTAGCATTTCTATTATTTCTATGAATAAAATAAAATAGTTTGCAACTTTCAGATGATTTCTGACTTTACATCGATTTATCGTCGAACGTAAGTTGTCACTCGAATGAAAATGAGATGATTCTTGTAATATGAAAAATGTTCTTTTATTCTTTTGTAAACGCAATGAAATGTATGTAGTATTTTTTTTATAGGGTTATTAAAATCACTTTAAACGTACAGAAAATATTTTATTGATCGAAATAAATCGTGTTTAATTGCATATGAAGAAAAAGATTTAATAAGTTGCTGGGAAAAATATATAGCTATTTGTGTTAAGAGATGCACAATGACTAACTTTTTACACGTATGTACATGTTTATAACTATTATACATATATCACTATCAGTATTTAGATACTTTGTACAATTCTACTAAATCTTTTCATGTATATATATATTCTATATATTTAAACAATGCAACAGCAATATTAGTACAGTTAGGACCATGGTTAAACGAAATAATTATTATCGCGGCAAGAGACGACCAAGATTAAAATACTAATTTTTAAACAAATCGAAACTTAAATTTTCCAGTAGCTTGTTTAAAAATAAGCATATTTAATTATCTGCAATAAATATTACATATTTACATACTGCTTTTTATTGTATACCTGAATTCTCATATGATAGCACAAAAATACTCTGTGATTCTTTCCAGAAATAAAATTTACAATGCGTCAAACAAAACACCTATGATTCTACATCAATTTTGGGTAAAGGACAGTTACTTAAACTTATCCACCATTAACTATAGTGGAGACAATTGAGCTTACATGTGTTCCGGATGGTTGCGTATGCATTCAATTAGTTCCGTAGCCTTTATCTCACCAATGCAAATCCGGTGTATAGCTGTAAAAAGCGGAAATCTGGCCTCCATGTTTCTTGCTTTCAACATATAATTTACCTCTTCAGCAGTGAAAGGACCTTGTAATTTTTGTCCGTTTAACATTTCCTTTTCTAATTCTTCGATTGACTGCAAACAAAAAATGTAGGAAACGTGACGTTTTTTGTAAGAGTAGGACTACGAGAATCTACGAATTTAATTATTCCAAGTAACCAAGCTTTAATGCTAGAGAACTGACCTTGCCAGATTTTACAAATGCTTCGGACACTTTACGATTACGGCCGCCATAACACGTAGTAATAAGATCCGCTACACCACAACTTTCAAAGAAGGTAGCGAGCTTTCCACCAGGAAAGAACACGTCAACGAACTTAATCATCTCCATAAGTCCTAATCTGATGACAGCAGCTTTTGTATTATCCCCTAATCCTAAACCATCAATGAAACCAGCACCGCATGCTACTATATTCTGTTAAAATTTTAAAACAGAGGAATGTTTAATACAGACATGATTAACAAATCGATAAATGATATGATTACCTTTAGCGCTCCGCAACATTCAACGGCGTCAACATCTTCGACGACTACAGCTCTGAAGTACGATGTTTGTATCATGTCCCTCAGCACGGGAGCCATAGCTTTGTCTTTACAACCTAAACATTGAAATAGAGTTTAATTATTTAAATTCTAATTTTTCTTCAACAAATAACGGATAAAGAGATGGTTTATCTTTACCAATAGTGGTCTCGCAGAACATCTCCTCAGCTACCTCGGCCGCCAAATTTGCTCCCATTAAAACAGACACAGGTATGTGAAGTTGTTTTGAAATTATATGGGAAATAAGCTCGATACCACCTCCCTCCTTCTTATCAAAACCCTGTGAAAATATTCATTTTAATGAACCTTGAAATCAATTTATCGAGATAGCTACAATAATCACGAATACAAATCGTAAGGTCATGTGCCTCTTCATAAATCTAAAATTGCGTACAATTATGTAAGCGGCAACCAGCTACAGACTGAAAAATTACGTAAAATTACATCACCGGCAACCAGTTATACTTTTGAACGTTACGTCAGCGAAGTTGGTATCATGGATGTGCTTTCTCAATACTTTAAGATTTTATGTTATTTCATAAGAATTCCTAAATTATTTCAGTATATACAATTGAACAATAAGTGAATTACTGTCGTTTAATTTTAGTTACAAATATGACACGAAACGTGACCTCAACCTTTAAAGCAGCAGTATATTTGCAAGGGAACCGCACGATATATTTAGGTCATCGATTCAACTTGAACTTCGTTCATGAAATGTGAACAGAACAAAATAACAATTTCGTCTGAACAAATTTCGACTTATCTCGAAGCGACGCTACTTGCCGTTCCTGAAATAACTAATAAAGATTTTCCGGATTATGTGCTTTCCAACTGTTCTAACTCTAATAGGCGATGACTCAACATCATGTGACTAGATCAGTTACTTAAGATATTCAACAGCATCTGACTACAAAATGAAAACGGAATGAAAATAGAACAACTCTTTGAAAGAACTATGAAAAATGCTGACAATCGATTAGGAACATGATTAATTGATAGTCAGGACTGTGCCTCCAGACTTAAACATTAATGGAATTTTCACAACTCTTGAATGAAATTTGACCTTGATCCATTTGCATGGAGAAGCAGGGTACTTCTGACCCATATTACTACACGAAAGTATACGAATATATTAATATATATACCTTTATCAGAGAGAGACCAACAGCTGTAGGCTTAATATTTCCCAGTAATGTGCTACATATTCTATGTATAAATTGATGTGGAACTACAAAAATAAGGATATCGGCGTCTTTGGCAGCATCGACTACATCTGGAACTGCAACCTGAAACATCATAATAACATATACACTTAATAAGCATGTATGATATACAAGCTATCAAAGAACGAGATTTGTTTTGCTAATCTCTTGTCTTTCCCTAATCATTAATTCATTACCATTTCACAATTGTAATTAAGACTTGTAATTCTGTGTTCAGAGATTTCAAAACATGCTGGTTATTTCCAAGAGTAGATAATATTTAAAAAATAAAATAAGCATGAAATAAGATACCAAGTTATGTAAAATATTGTTTCAAATAACATACTTTCTTATGATTAATCATAAATGTACAAAACTTTGAATAACAGGTCCCACCTTCTAATCTAAAACTATTCCTAAAGCAGACATTTATACGTTATGTGAACTTTATCTTTCTATCACGTTAATGTTAAGTGTAAATGTAGTGGAAAGATATTTATATTTGATAAAGAACTAAGATAGAAGGTCCCTTGACAGCACAAAATAAACCACTCAAATTTGCTAATCTCTAATATTTAGATGGAAAAATGAAAAGGGAGAATTAGAGTTAATCTCTTATCAGCAATTTATAGACAAAGAATAATTTATTGCTATTATTTCAACAATAGGTGCAGTTATTTATCACATTGGTAATCTTTATGTGTATCTTTCTTATTGCTAGTTGATAAGTTTGATAATATATATATATATGACAAAAGATGTGTATGGTGCAATAATAAACATGATAAATGGTAATAAAAATTAATAGATTGTACATTAAATAAAAAAAGTTGACAACTATCAGATATCAGATATTTAATAACACAAAACCTATTTTATATAAGAAATCTTAAAAAATATCAATAATTAAAGTCTAACAGAAATTAGAAACTTAATGTCTAGTTCTAATAATTATGTCTGTAGTTTCTTAATATTTCTGAGGACCCTATGTAGTATTTTTAATGTGTCTTACAGTCGATATGGGTATTGATATTTCTAAAGTATCAGCCACGGGTTAGATGATAAGAGTGATTTATATATCTACAGTCTGCATAGTTATGTACATGATTGCTATCTTTGAATCTACTTCACATTTAGTCTATGATAAATTATTTGTTTCCTCCTTGGCATCGGTGGCTCTTTTGACATAAACATTTTCGAAAATTCATATGTATTACAAAAATAAAATCTGGCGTCTTTATTTCGATATTTTATAATAGGAATTAATTAGTACAAAGAAATGGATAGTTACAAAAATCTGGAACGTAAAGGGCAAATCAATATAACCTCAGTTGTTTGGTCGCGGTCAAGGTCGTGCTACATATAGGTGAAAGTCATTGATAGTGAAATTTAGGTGGTTGTGTGTGTGTGTGTGTGTGTTTAGAAGGTGTAGGCGTTATACATACAGATCTTATATTAAATAGTTCGAAGTTGCGCTAAAAACAGCTGTTTCAAACGAATGTTGTAGTATGTGCAGTAGTTGTTACATGGACATTTTAAATTGAACAAAAGAAAAACGTTTGGAGATCAGTGTGAGTGGTGTGAAACGATTGTATTCTTAAAATTACGAGACAGACTATCGATTAAAAGAATTAACGAATCGTGAAACTGGTCGTTCGTTTCCTTCTCCAAACAGAATTCGACACGCAGACCAAAGATATGTACCATATGTACGTTCCATCGTTTCGTGTGCATGAGAGTTACGTAAACGTGAGTTACACTTACAATCACTCATAATCATACACAGCAAGTATTATCCATTAAACACAATAGATACTATACCGAAGGGACGCGAAATATTTATTTTTCGCATATCACGAAGAGAAAATTGTTTCGTTTTAAATGTTTGATTATATATTAAGTAGAAAAATAAATAAACAGAAAAGTTCGTAGAAGGAATAAATATTTTTAAACTTGCAAAAATCAGAGAAAGACCTCAAATGTTATGCATGTCGCACGATAATTATTGCTTTTAAAAATCATAAATATTTTATGAAGTCATAAGTTAAGACTTACCACGTTACTCGGCAATTTATGTCCTGGAAGATATTTTACATTCTCGTGCGTTTCGTTAATAATTTCAGTCAGTTTTTTTCCATTGATCATTTCTTCGTACACGTACATTGTAACGCGATCCTCGAATTTACTTAGTTTTTGAGCGTTTGCTCCAACTATCTTAGCGATAGCAGAACCCCTATATAAACAGTACACATATAAAATTGTTTACACGATTATTGTACAGATGGAATTATGAAGATATGCTTGAAAGTTACGGTTTGCGAAGGAGTTCATTATTCAATCTATTCGTAAACATTGAAGCGTGACCTATACGGGTATTATCGCGATGTTATCAATAATAGGCAATTATTTATACATTTCTTTATCATACAAAGTAGCTTTGCAGCAACTCAAACGCGTATTCAAACGTTTATATGACTATCGCAAAAGGGAATTTCCTTGGTCACAGAAAAATGTGACAAGTGGTTTTTTTACATTTTCAAATAAAACATAAACGATACAATTAGGAGACTAGGGGTCTTTCAAGTCTATTATATGCGCAGCACGTGGAAATCAATTGCGATATGAACGTTTCAATATGATTAGCCAAGTGGCAAATATTCTGTTATTAAGGGGACAGGTATTGGTGTTGGTTGACCTACCAATTTCCGGATCCGATAATACAAACACGCTGTTTAGCTGCCATAATCTTCGATGATCCCGACGTCGGATATGCAGGAGTATAAACTGAAAAGAATCGCACGACAATGTACACAAACCACGCGGCTCCGTAGCGAGGTGGCAACTGGAACAGCTCTGTACACTGTACTTACATGAAAAGGCTCGCGATGTTTTCCGTGGAAGTGGGAGAGATACCAGCAAATACCAGCGAGCGAATTGATACTGCCGACCGAGTACTGATAGGCCAATCATTATGGTAAGCAAAATTGAACGGTTAACCAATAAAATTCCATGCGATAAGAATTTCGTGTTATCTATCTGCTTTCCTCCTGGCTATGTTCCTGGTTATGAAATTAATTTTTTACGAATCGTTAGTGTCACCACTTATGACGACAAATTTTACTTATATATAAATATTGATTTAGTCGATATTATATAGGAAGGGTTTGAGGTTCTGAAGGTTTAAAGAAGAAGTTTGTATTATATATTTATAGTTACGAATTTGTGAAGAAAACAAAGTCGTTCACTATAGAGGTTTCTAGAATAAGAATTGTTTATTTGAATATCAGATTTCACATTTGCCATATAACCGTTTAATAATACGCGTGAGACTAGCAGAAATTTTTAATGTTCTTATTCCTGTCCCATTAAACGAGCTAAGGTCAGTAACGAATATGCTGCGGCCGGAACTGTAATTAGGAATAAATACACATCTTCACACTTAACATTCATTTGCTTTTATTATATGTTTCAAATCTAATTACAATTTCTTTATCATTCATGTTTCTCATAAATAAATGATACACGATACAACGTAAATGTGGTAATTACCAACATTCAAAATTATATTTAGATCATTTTTGTAAATAGTACATTATGTAATAGTAGTTTCGTTATTTAAAAAAAAAAAAACAAAAAAGTAAATTTTGTAAGCCTGTAAACATTCGTTATACGAGTGAAAATACCACCTGATTTAAACATAATGACAATTTATGGTGACAAATTCATATTGGTTATTCGTATTAGATATTGGGATATCGATAATACTAATCTATAGAAGAAAGCCACGTGGAAGTTCGCTAACAAAGTATACTGCGGGTAATACTCCGTTTTATGGCTTGATGCATAATTAGTCTTCTGGGGTGGATTGCGCTGCATCCAGAATTATTTCGAAGGAAAACGGCTGGAAACCATATCCTTGACCAGCGTAAAATTTGCTTTGGAACTCGACCCTATGAAAATGACAGGAAAATTATGCGGTTTAACGTAACTTGAACCGCGAAGACATAGATTACGCTATATATCAATATTTCGTACCAATGAAGTCGAAGTGTATGTAAGAAGGCTGATAACCCTTCCATAAGTACTAGAATGCCGACGGTTAGAACAGCCCAAAATCCAAACACAGCCCACAGGATAATACCACCTGACCAATCTTCCTGTGTCAATCCATTTCTCATTACCATGTTCCATAACACTTCTGATAATTCTAAACGAGTTAAGATAAAATTACGATGAGTTACATCGAAGAGATATTTAAAATTAGAAACATCTGTTTATCACAAATGTCTACGTTTTAACTTACGTGCATGGGCGAGAGATAAGGCCCATAAACGCAGATACGATGCAGTGTGAGATACGCTACCAAGAACGTATTCAATGGTATGAATGCCTTGATGAATCAATAATTCGCCCATGTCCTCTTCTTCGTGTTTGGGACCACCCGGAGGTACGCCATTGGTGGTTTGTATGGTGTCTACGCCACCTTCCACATCACCATTCTCTGTTCCATGATCATTTAACTAGGGATGAAATAAAAATTAGAGTAAAAATCGTCCTGAATTATATAGTGAATGTACCGATTTCGAAAGATTGTCCAAAAATTCTATTCAACCTGGACATGTTGCTTCTTCCTGTTGTACATTAGCATGCCAGGTTTACCCAGTAACATCCATGGAATGCAAAGGAGAGCTAGAACAACGAGGAGTTTTTGTAATCCTTCTTGGCCGCTGTACATCCAAGGACTACATCCTTTCGGTGCGTTTCCAGAGTTGAAAAGTACCATATTAATAAACGTAATTAATACGGATGGTGCACAGAAAGGACCGTGCTCTGGATCTAAACCTGCGAATAAATATTACGAGCGATGTTATATTACTTCTTTTAAATCGAACGCATGATACTACTTACCATCGCTATCAGGGCCATATTTGATCCACTTGGTAAACATGAGAAGTACCATGTATAGGAAGAGTAATACCAAAAATATTACTTGGGGGATGAATTCGCATGTTATGTTAATTTTCCTCTTAAAGTACATATGATTCCACAATCCAACAAATACGCCGAATAACATGTGCATAACACCGAAAATGATCGATATTTTCATTTTGTACGAGTTGAGAAAAATGATCTTATTCTCAGCCAATTGCCACACAGGATCCATCCCTATCGGGTATGGTTTCTGCAAATATTCGTTCTTATTGCTGGGATTCAATTGCAGATCCTTATTCTCTCGTATCGTGCTGAGGTTGTAGTTGATTCTCCAATATGAACCAAATATATTCAACGACTTGGAGAATGTATCGTTGTATATCAATCCGGTGTACATTGAAAATAAACCCATCAAGAAGATAATGTATCGACCACCGAAGAAGATATTCCAAATTTCGTTGTCAGATTTCTTTGCGGCTAGTGGTTTTTCTTTTAACACCATCCATCCGCCGAAGAGGAACATGAGAAGTCCGTGGCCAGTATCTCCAAACATTACAGCGAACAAAAATGGGAATGTTATTATAGTGTAAGGGGCTGGATTCATTTCTCTGTAGGAAGCAACTCCGTACGCGTCTATCAGTACTTGAAAACCTTTAGTAAATTTGTTTGTTCGATTATAAGTGGGTGGATCTTCGAAAGTCTCCATCCGATTTAAAATCGGTGGTACAGAACTACCGCTACGTTCCTAAAACGATGGACGTAATGTTGGTATACGTAGATCTCGATTAAAATTAATGATATATTAATAAAATTATTGATCAATTACAGTTCCACGACGCAGGGCTAGTTGAATCGTCTCGATATCCAATACGGGAACCCAGCATTCAGCGATTAAACATTTCTGTGTAACGTCCAAGTTGAATAAATTCAACGTATGATAAATAGCTTTGATTTTGCGGACTTTGACGAACCAATTTTTAATATTTTTCGCAGCAGCCACCAAGACACGATGACGATGATCTTGAGTTTGACCGAGAACCTAAGTAAGGTTGAGATAAACGATTACAGATAATTGTAGAAAATAATTTCACCGAAAAAGTGAAGTAACTAACCGTATTTAAATCTTCGATTCGAGTCATGACGCCCATAGCCATTTCACGGCGGTCAGCAGGTGCTTCGGGACAAGGGTAAAGAGTAGCTCTGAATCCTTCGCAGATCTTTTTAACTCGAGTTTTCAATTGATCTCCTTGGAAGAATATGATAAACACAGACTTGAACACTTGATCCCCCTAAAAACGAACATTGTTCGTATTATAGACGGTTTGAGGGAAGCCTATCTACTGTAAATAGGTTTCAATTTAAACGTACCGTTGAAGGATCCTCCAAAGGAGTTTCAATTTCCGCTTGACGTAAGAATACATTACCACGACATGCACGCCAGAGCATGCGTTCAAACGCAGGGATGCGTTCCCGTAGGATAACTCCAGCGACGAAACTATTCAAAGAATAATATCAGTAAACGTATATCGATTGCAAACGAACGAAGCAAAAAGTAACAAGAACATAGTACTATGTGTTAACACACTATTTGATTTAATCAAAAATTTGCACGCGCACCCACGCACGCACAATCCATTCTTAAATACAGTACGGACAGAATAAAACAGCAACAATTCGTAGAAAATGTTGTTTTCATGTTTATGGAGAAGAAGAAACTACCACGGTCAACATTGTACATCGATATCGTTAACGTTATATGGTTTTTTTTTTTTTTTCAACCTGTATCGTTCAGCATAACTGAATGGAAACCTTGTTTATATATTAATGTGATATGCACGTATGAAAGGGACGATATCTTGTATATTCTTGTCGAAAAATGATGATTCTGTAGCCATGGTCCTCTATAACGTTCTACGTATTTAGATTTACCAATGAATAATATCGGTCATTAATCAGAAATTTTGAAATTAGAACAAAAAAAAAAAAAAAATCTTATTTTATATTACGATAGCAGTGTATGTATAGTTCGATAAAAGAAACGAGATGCAGTTCGATCAATAATGCGGATAAGTGTTCAGAAAGAGAGGAAAGTATTTAGTAATTACTATAAAAACTACAACTGCAAATCCTAGAAAGTCCATTAATGAAACTTCAAAACGCAAAGGAATATTAGAAGTATGATAATCGTGTTAAATATCGCATAATTACTGGGTTCTAATGTAAATACATCGCGTTCGTGCACGTATAATCTGTAAAAGTAATGTATCCCTGACGTATTCGCCTGAATTGGTATGTGATGTATATTTTTCGCGATCGTGTAGTATTAGTAACACTTACGCATGCTTAAAAGAGCGAGTGGAAAAGAGAAAGGGGGGAGGAGAGAGAGAGAGAGATTTGCGAAAACCACCCCCTTTTCCCTCCTAAGAAAATAATTACGGGCTTATGGTTGTACAGCATTCACTCATTGGTACGTGTAACACTCTGGCTTCTTTCCAGAATTCATTTGTATATTTATGACGATTTATGAGAAGGACAAAAAAAAAAAAAAAAGACGATTACAGACAAGTAAAGCCTGGGACGTGTTCTCTGGCGAATCTTCAAATACAATTGCCGAGAACGGCGGAAACAGTTAAACTGCTCATTTGCATGGAACATGACAAAATGTTCAGTTATGGTCAACCTGTTGCAGGGAATATTTTTATTATTTTGTCCATTCTCTTCGCATTTACTGTACGTGCAATAATGGTAATACATCGCGAAATTGGTTCGAGTAATCTTTAAATTGCAAAAGGATTAAAAATAGAAAGAGACTGAAGATCGCAATGCGAAGAAAGTCGAACGTAGTAGTGATTTTTTTAAACAAAAAATTAATTGGACATCGACGGAGAATAACAGCAATGGAAAATTAAGAAATTGCATGGACTTTGTAAGGCGAGTTTGAAGAGTAGTGTTACACTTTTCGAAAAATCACTACTTCGAACTACAAAATAAAACGAAGTGGATTCACTCACAAGTACCACAAATACCAGAGCAACGGGGAGTGTCCTTTGGACAAGTTTTTGTAAGAAGTTTTGCGGGGGAGAGACTGT